AAGCAACACTACATTCCGAATTTGCCGACTCGAGAAACTCTCAAGTAAAGCATAGGGACTCATCGACCACACTCCTTAATCAGAAATCACCGATTAAGGATTTATGCACAATTTATTGGAACTTGGGGCTCTTGGTTCGAGGTTCGAGGTAACATAAATAGCTCAGCAAAAATTGGTCGATCAACGAAATGAATAGAAGGTTCGGGGTTAGTGTACTGTCACCCAAGAGGCGACACGCTAGCTGGCGCTGCATAAGCGGGGCTGGGACGCGTGCGTACCCACCTACTCGGAGACCAGCTGTAAGGTCGAGGCTTGGCCGCACACGCTGGCTCGGGGAGTTAGTGCGTTCGGTGATGGCGGCTGCAGTTCGCATGCGAGTCAACGGTTGGCCGCGCGCAAGCCTCCCGTCTCTCAGCACGGTCGTGCGTGCTCGGCCACCACTTCGCGTGGCTACACCCAGCCAGGGTCGGCGTTTGGTCCAGGTTTTCACAAGGAGTTACAGTTCAAGGCTACCAAAAAGGAATGATTTTACCAAATTTCAAAAATTTTGGGGGTCAACAAAACAACATATATTTCAGGTATTCCACAATTTCAAAGTTCAAGGGTTTCCAAAAATAGAGAGGTATAAGTTCGAGTTCCAAGTCCACTTCCTCGGTTAGCTAATCGTGTCAGCAGTCCTAAACGAGCGCAACTCACTTCCCAATTTTCACACTTTGGAATTTGAACGCGAAGTTCCTCCCGGGATTCCGAAAGGAGGAAAAGAACAAAAATTTATCATAAACAAAATTTAGAATAAGGACGGGTCCGCACCACGCGATGTGCTTGTTTCTGACTTGTCTATCCTCCTTAAAAGATTTCTGCATAATTCTTTAAGGTGGAAAAGCACTCCATCTCGATAACAGCAGGAGATAACACAAAAGCACTTATAGGCGGTGAGCTCGGCTCGTCAAGCACCTTAATTAAGTCCAGATGTTATATTTAACATCTACTTAGACTTAAATGGAATTCACAATTATACTCAGCCGAACTTAATTCGACTAAGTTGTTCGTGAAATCCTGTAGACGTTGGAACACTTAGAATGTAGACGTTGGAACACTTAGACTCGACACTAAGACTCAACCAAATACACATGAGAGTTCACATAATCCAAAACAAACATTGACCAAGTCAAACACTTAAAGAATCAGAAAAACGAGTCGATTCACAGTTTTTATTGCAAAAGCCATATTTTAAAAACACCAGATTTTAATCACAAAATTAGGTTGGTCAGGTTATCATACGAATTTAACTTTAAAATTTTTACCAAAATTCCACCTCTCAGAATTAAGCAATACCACAAATTTTCAGCCCCAAAATCAAACTGTGCTATTTTATAAAATTCGAGCAAAATTATTGCAAAAATGAGCATAATTTAGCAACCAGAATAAATGAATGAATTAACCTATGAAATTTTTATACCACAGAATACAGCATGAGATTGGAAACATATCAAAATTTCAGCCCTGGACATTAACTGTACAAATTTTAAAAATTTCTACAAGTTTCAGCAGTTATCGAAATTCAGTTTAAACCAAATCAAATTGAACTCCAAAAATTCCTATCTTTTAACAGCATGAAAACACACATAATACAAGTACTTCAGCCAAGTTTCAGAATTAATCAACGACTAACCGATTTATGATAAATAAAACAACTTCCTACTGAATCAGAGAATAAATTATTTACCCTAACAAACTTAGTCAGAAAATTCTAAAAATTTTACACAACATATAATCATATCAGAGGCGTGACATACTAAATTTTTAGCCAATTTCAATCACTACACAATTTATTATGCAATTAACATGAAACTGACCAGAAATCATTTTAATTATTTAAAATAGCTACCGGCCTTGGAAAATTACGAAATATTTACACAAGTCAGATGTTCAATAGAAAACAAGACCCTCAAAATTTCAAGGCAAACAGAGCAGCACATAATTTTCAATAATTCCATCACTAAAATAGTGATTATTAAAGTTCAACAATTTATCTACGACTCGATTTACGACGAATTCGTCCGAAGTCTTCGCCATAAGACTAAGGATGATACAACGTTCCAATCCACAGCGACTATATCACGAATCGAGAGGTCTCGTTCGATTTCTCAAAATCGAAGAGATCGTCTACATATGCACAACATATATTTAAACCAATTTCAAACTCATGAATACAAAATTAACATAGGCATATACACATCTGATGGTCTTAATAACCAAGGTTACAGACCTCCGAATATCCCACACTTGAGACTCCTTCGGTTGTCCGCTCCCTTCGCTTAAGCCTTCTTCTTTCGAGATGGCTTGGGAATGGTCCTCTTACGAAGACACTAAAACACATCGAGAGAACTATTATACACAGAACTCAGCTCAATAACACCATATCAAATTTCTAAACAAACAAAACCTCAAGTTAGAACTTAACTCTATATCGCTAGAGTGCAAATTCATACAACTAAGGTTCGCCACTCATCTAGAGTTCTAGAACGTTTAAAAGTAGGAGGATAGATTTCTAAGCCCCGGTTTCATTTCAGTAATCAATACCCAATCAATGCACAATAATCTTAAATCATTCAGGTACTCATACCTGAGCTGGCTCGGCACGACGAGAGTGAGTGGTCAAAATATGAGGTCAAAGCATGTAATCACATAATTCACATTAACCAGTCTACAGAAACGCAGACTGGCTCTGATACCAAACTGTAACGCCCCACTTTTATTTGCCGAAAATCAGAATAAATTTATCAAATTTATTTCGAAGCACTTGAGGAGTTACCCCTTTTAAAATCGAACTTCAATACTAACCAATTTTTATTACTCGATCATTCATCAAACTCAATCATCAATCATCATCAGTAATACTAACTCCCAAAAACGGGTTTTCCAAAATCTCATAAATCATCACCCAAACCGGGTTCCAACAATATTCATAAATTCTAAGGAGCATCTCCTTAACATTATTCAGTCATAAAATCCGAAATTCATAAAAACAATAATACCCCAAGTTCATAATCATAAAACCAGTTCATAAATGCGGAAGCATAACAAATAATAAGGCCAGTCTTATAGACCGACCACCACTCGCTCTACTCCGCCGTCGTACCTGCCTCGCTTAACCTGAAACGTGAATATCGGGTGGGGATGAGCACAGTTGGAAAAAGTAGTGCTCACCACTATGCAGTAAACATTATTCGTAATAATGAAACAGTAATCAATAATTAAGAAGGTATGGTCTCAGCATGTATACGAATCAATTAATTATCCCAATCTTCTATCAATCATATCAATAATAGACTCATGTGCACACCTATAGCAATAGACTACTGCCGAACTATATACTGAACGCCTTATCTAAGGCCTAACAACGAGTGTCCGGCCAGTAGGAGTATCCCGCCGGCCAAGGCCTCACCTTGGTCTTACCAACGGGGTTGTCCAGCACAGGGACCTTTAACCCAGGTCTTACGGCTCAAAATGTGTCCAGCACAGGGACCTTTAACCCAGGACTTACGGCTCAAAATGTGTCCAGCACAGGGACCTTTAACCCAGGACTTACGGCTCAAAATAATAAGGAGACCACCCAACGGGTACGTTCTATAGATACGGGGATAAGCGTTCGACGGCCGGTACAGCTCACATCGAAGGCTACATGTTCCACATGCATACTTGATCATACCAAAAATTTAAAACAGTAATAACATTTACAGCATAGACAATTTTACATTAAACCCACCTAGATATAGCATGAGGTTTAGCCAAGCACAAAGTTGAAGGAATTATGGCACAAGTTCAGCTTGAAGAACCTACAACAATTATAATATCCTTTCACTGACTATCCAATATAAAAATACCACACAAGGCACATATACTTAGTCGAAATCATATCGACTAAGCGACTCGTGGATTCCTTGACCGAGTTAAGTACTATGGAGTGACTAGTAGACCTGGACACAACTCATATACCTCAAATATTTCACATAAAACTTGCAAACATTAAATAAATCCTATCCGAACCTAACCAACCGATAACCGAACATTAAGACTCCAAAATAAAAAAAATTCAGAATCAGGAGTTAGGCTCGGCCATTCGACCTGAAACTTTACCACATTATAAAACATGCAAAAACACATAAACCCACCATGGTTCAGCCCTAAATTCATCCGGAAACATTTTTAAATGATTTAAGCAAAAACAGCACTAAAATCAGCATTTAATAGTTCACAAAGCTACACTTCGAATTTTAATCTGAAAGTTTTACACAACCTAAACCATCATAAAATAACAGGTTTCTGAAAGTTTCAGTTCAAAACTCCAAGTGTACGATTTTTAATGATTTTTACAAGTTTCTGCTCAGAAACCGTTTTAACCATTTGAACTCCAAAAACTCAGAAATAAAATCAGGGGCTTGGCACACATATTCCACATAATCATAGGTACAACATATAAAAAATTCAGCTCAAACGGATAACAACTAGATTTATGGTGAATTTACTTCGGTTCAGCAGCATGCTCGGTTTAGAAAAATCGTATCTCTCAAATTATAGCTCGAAACGACTTCAAACCAAAACTAACAGATCAAGGACAACTCCAATTACCTATAACTTTAGGATTTCCACGAAAAGAACCACATATATTCAGTTCGAAAATTTTTCAAAGTGACGGCAATCAATTTTATATCCAATTTGCGAATATAAAACAAAATCCATACAATTACTCAACTAAGGCACGAATATAAATTCACGAAGCACGTTTAACACTCATTTCACATAATCCAGCACATAAAATAATATATAGGATTAAGCGAGACGGGTCGAGCCTTGTACCGTTATCGGGATTCGATCGAAAACGAAAACGAAGGGCCGAACGACTATCTCGCGGTGTGGACAACTCGTCCGTTTGCACCTGACGGAGCTCGCTGAAGGTCGAGGGCTGAGAGTGACGTCCCGCGGAGGAGTAGGTCGCGATGTCGGGTCGAACGAGGCTCGACGGCTTACCGCTGCTAACCCTTACGACAAAAGGCTGCCCGTTGTTATCCTCGCACGCGCCCGAAAGGCCACTGGTCGACGGAAAAAGGAATCCGGCCGCTGCTGCGAACGAGGGCCGACGGGGTGCGGCTGACGTTTGGGCTGCCTGCTGCAGCTCGAAAAGGAGGTTCGATGAAATCTGAAATTTGAACAGGGGCTCGCTTACAAGGATTTCTCGACGTGAATGGATAGAACGAGGGCCGCAACTGCTTGTGAAAGTCGCCAACAAGAATTCATCTCGTCTTGTTCATCAGCGGAGGACAGAGGTTCATGGTGGGGACTCGCGAACCGGTGGAGAAAGGCGGCGGCGACTGGTTCACGTGGCCCGACGGGATGCTCGCCGGATTCGCAGTCACGAGGAGGAGAGCGATCGACGATGGTTCTTCACGACGAGAGGACTGGTTCTTGATGGAAGGTGGTCGCCGGAGTTCGCTGCTGGCCCGCGGTGGCGTGAGGGCTGCAAGTCGCCGGCAGAGAATGGCAGTTCGCGGCGGAGAATCGCGCAAGGGTCGCCGGCGTCTGGCTTTTTCACGACTGGGGATGGCAGAGGGATGATGGCGACGAGATGAATATGGAGGGGGTGATCGGAGGTGGTGAGGCGATCAGATTTCGCCGGAGAGGGTGACTGGTCATGGCGGCGCGATAGCGAGAGGGGATGGTGGTGGGGTGAATTTGCAGCGAAGGCGAGGATGGTGATGGGATGATGATGGTGATGAGAGGGGTTGATGACGATCGATCAAATATTCAGAGTTCTTGAGCGTGAGATGAGGTTGCAAGATGAAAACGATGAGATGGCTGCGGGATTGTTTTCTCACGCGTACAAAATAAAAAGAGGGACTAGGGTACAATTAAGGAGATTAGGGTTAATTAATCCTATCTTAACCCTCAAGACATACACTCACACATGTGGCGAACCGGGTCGGGGAGAGAAAAACCGGGTTCGCGGGTTTAAATGAAATGATTCGGCCCAGCTCTCGGGCTCAACTTTCGTTTTCTTCGGGCCCGACAGATTAAATCGGATCGGCTCGAAAATTAAATCGCACGATGAATACATAACCGGATATAATATATTATTTTATAATACACACAATTTAATTTTTAAAATAATAACAATATTAGTAAAAATACAAATACACATTTTTTTTAATTAAATAATAACACTTAGACAATTAAGCAATTTGACAATTAAATCATATTCGACAATTAATAATTTATAGCATTGAAACAAATATTAAGAACAACAAATAATAATATAAATAATAATAATAAATAATCCTAAAAATTTCCATAGCCAAAAGGGGCATTACAATGCTAAACGACAGACTCAACGAGAATTTCCAATCATGCAGTCCGGGTATCCCCTCCAGAACTCGATTCTGCTCGCATGAGTCGTATCGCCCTATTCTCCAATGGCATACACTCATATACAAGACCCAATCCGACTCGCCCTATGCCCATATGTTTGCCTTCTTGCATGGGAGGGTGATCAATCCTGCTCGAGCTCAGGCGTACATCCTCTTGCCAGGGACCTAGTCCAGCTTGGCCTATACCCATGAGTATCAACTACTTGTCGTACCTAACAACACACAAGACGTCAACAGGTCGTTCAGTGTAATGCTAGCGTACTCCGACTGCCTCACCTTCAAGGTGGGCACGTGACGCCAAGCTTCAGTCTCGTGTCCGAGTCACACTGATAACTTGCTCACGATTTCATCACGGACCGTGCGTCTCCATCAGAGACTTCGACCCGGTACCACATACAGACAACACAACCCCATTATGCTCATACTCTCAAGATATCGGTTCCACGAGTCGAACGTAGCCCTTATGCGCAACATAAGGCTTCGTCCAATAGCAACACAAACTTCCCAATGCATAGGGACTCTTCGACTACACCCCTCGATTAAGGATTCATACACATTTTAGTGGAACTTGGAGTTCTCGGTCCAAGGCTCGAACAAAAAGGGTTCAAAGAAAAGGCTAACCAGTAAGTCCAGCAGTAAATAGATAGAACAGTTTTGGAAAAACATTGATGGTTCGGGGTTAGTGCACTGTCACCAAAGAGGCGGCACACTCGCTGGCACTGCATAAGCGGGGCGCTGGGACACGTGCGTACACACCAACTCGGAGACCAGCTGCAAGGTCGAGGTTTGGCCACACACGCTGGCCTGGGGAGTTCGTGCGTTCGGTGATGGCGGCTGCAACTTGCGTGCGAGTCGACGGTCGGCTGCGCGCTTTCCTTACGTCTCTCAGCATGGTCGTGCATGCTCGGCCACCACTTCGCGTGGCTACACCCAGGGCCGACGTTTGGTCAAGGGTTTCACAAGAAATTACAATCCAAGGTTACCAAAATGAGTGGTTTTACAAATTTTCGATAATTTTTGGGTTCAACACTATATAGTTCAGGCGTTTCACATTTTCAGAAGTTTCAAAAGTCTCAGTATTTCAAAAGTTTCAAGAGTTTCAAAAATAGCAAAGTGTAAGTCCGAGTTCCAAGTCCATTACGTTTTCCACACAACACACGAATCCACAACGGATCTAACGATAGATGAACCTTTCAAAAGAATTCTAATGACGATTTTCCCTAAGTCGGCGGCTCCTACCAAGACATACAATAGCTAGGTCGCCTCGACTCTTCCGATTAACAACGTCGGCCGTCACGTCAGCTCTTACTCAAATAGCTAACCGTGCCAGCATTCTTGATCGAGCGCAACTCATCTCCCAATCTTCATACTTTGGAATTCGAACGTGAAGTTTCTCCCGAGATTCCGAAAGGAGTAAAAGAACGAATGTTTCTATGATGGACAAAATTTAGAATGAGAACGGTTCTGCACCTCACGACGTGCTTGCTCCAGACTCGACTATCCTCCTTAAAAGATTTCACCATAATCTTTTACGGTGGAAAAGCACTCTTTGATATGCGTCAAATCACCCCATCTTTCTTATTGAACCGATTTGTGTTGACTTCTGCTCCCGTACGTTCATTTCGATGCCATGTGTGAATAATTATTGTCTTCCTCGAGAGTAGGTTACCCACGAAAGTGGCGATAAAAAATTGTGCCCTCGGGTTCTCGTGATAACTTAATGATGACATCTCTACGAAAGTCGCATACTTCGCAAGCGAATAAACATAAGCAGAAACAAATAGATGTTTAATCTTACTTGCAATCAGGTTTTTCAAAACAAAGTCAATACCCAACATAAAATAAATCTGAATTGGCTAAACTTCAAGAGAAGGGAATTTTAGAGTTAGAAAGCTTGAAAAAATAGCTTACACAGAGAAACCAAGGTAGGGTTTGAACACGGCTATATCCCAAACAAAACGAGAAAAAGAACTGGGTCGATCGTAATCCTCCGGTGTCTATGACTCGCCGCCTATCTCAAGGACATTGTATTCCCACAGACTGCAACGTTTGTAATAGCCCAGTTCACTATTAATAAAAATGACAGTTTTTAGTTCCAAGTTGAACTATTTCTTTTTATTAATACTGCCCGTCTTGAGTTCCGAGCCCAGTTATCAGCTATTCAATCTCAGTTATTAATTCCGGTCCATTTATTTTAGCAATGGATTTTATTCAGTCGGAATTGATTATTTCGGTTGACGAATAATCGAAAACCGAGTATGTGTCGATAAATCGTCTAAGTCTAGCCGTGTCCGAAACCGAGTCGTTCGGTCACGAGTATCGCGCCTAGTTCGCGCCTAGCCAATTCTCGAGCCCTAGTAGTCCCGAGTATTGTTCGAGCCCTAGCCGTGCTCATAGCCTTACTTAGAATAGTTTCTAAGTATGAGATCATTTTATCGAGCCTTGGATGTTATTCCCTCGGTCAAGTATGCCGCACCTAGCTCGTGCGTGGCCTCGAGATCACTTGCGCCTAGGGTTCGCGAGTTAGGGCCAAAGCTGTGCCAAGTTCGCACCAAGTCCTTACCGAGTATTAAGGGGATTTTTCCTAAGTATTTTGGTTCCTTTTTGAGCCACAAGTTCAGCCCTAGCCAAGTATCCCTCGGTCCAAGTGATGCCGAGCCCAAGCCATAAGGGCCGCGCCCTAGCCGCGCGAGGGTGGCTAATACCGTGCGAGATGGAGCTCGAGTCATGGCCAAACACTTATGGGATTTTTTTTAAGTGTTGAGAGTTTATCTCAGACCCTAAGCTCGGCCCAAGATCATCCCCTGCGCAGCAGCAAGCCCAGCTCGCGCCCCGGGCCAGCCCAGCAATGCCGCGCCCGTGTCCCTCGCGCCAGGCCCAGCGGCAGCACGGTAATCCATCTTCTCAAACCCAATGTGGAGTTTTTTGGCCCACTTCTCCAGGGCCCAACTTCATGCGTGTATTAAGAAGTTGATTAGGGATTAATTCAGCTTAATTATCCCTATGCATGGATTAAGGGAGTCACATGGTCATGGGGGATTATTTAATGTGAGTGGGACATTTTTATATTACTTGTGATGTTGGATTTGTCCCCCATTACCTCATGCATGGACCAAGGCCTGACCAAGGCATATTTTAATCCTAGATGCCCTGAGATATTCTCCCTAAAATCCGTGCTAGTCAGCCCAAGGAATCCGTGCACCAAGACCCCTTTTGTCCCATGCACCTATGTGTGGACCTTGTCCCCCTCCTTGCTCACCTCGTGGCCTCCGCCCCTATCTCCATATAAGGGACGTCCTCAGCATTGTCCCAACTCTTGGAGACTTCATTATCTTCAGTATATTGAGAGCTAAGTGAGATAAACCGAGCCTAAGTGTCCAGCCCCCTTAGCGCGCGCGAGCAAGGCCGTGGAGAAGGTAGTCCACACCTCAGCTTGTTCCAGCCGTGAACTCTCAGTGCTTAGCATTTTCCAAAGGTTAATTGGATTTTTCTAAGTGTCCAGAGTGTATCCCTTCAGCCACTTAAGCCTCCAAGCCAAGACTAAGTTCATAGTGCCGCGAGTAGACCCGAGCTAAGGCCATTAGCACCATTCGTGTGTTCGAGCAAGGTTAGATCGTGTTTATCATTTTTCCCAGCTTATTCATGATAAAATAAGAATTATCATGTTGAAAAATGATGCCATGCATGTTCATATGATGGAGTTCCGAATTTTTGAACATTTGAGCCCTAATTTCGTAAGTTTATGTACATGCATGTTATGGACGAGTTTGATGGCTTAAAAATCCTCAAAAATCATGAGAATGACATGGTTAAAAGATTAGCATGCTTTGAGTTTAATTGTTCGGTCAATTTGTTAAGTGAAATCGAGCCATTTTCACCTCCGAACCTAAGTCAATATGCATCCATGTTATAGCCAATGTCCTAGGCTCAATAGCATTGATTTTTGATGTAGATTATTCGGCCCTAAGTCAATTTGCATGTTAAGCA